TCAAAACAAGTGTCAACCAACACCAAGGTTAGAATTTTCAATACGAATATCAAGACAATTCTACTGTATGGGGCGGAAACCTGGAGAACTACGAAAGCCATCGTGTAGAAGATACAGGTTTTCATTAGCAGTCGTCTTCGCAAGATACTCAATATCCGTTTTCCAGACACTATCAGCAACAAGCTACTGTGAGAGAGAACAAACCAGATTTCAGTAGGGGAAGAAATCAGGAAGAAGCGCTGAAAGTGGATAGAACACACATTGAGGAAATCCTTCAAGTGTCATGTCGGGAGGTTTTGGGCCAAAAGAAGCACCATCACAAGGAATGGATCACTGTTGATACACTGGATAAAATTGAAGAAAGGAGGAACATGAAGGCAGCAATCAATATCAGCCGAACAAGAGCAGAAAAAGCCAAGGCAAAAGACGAATACACAGAGGCAAAAAAGCAAGTGAAGAGGAGCATCAGAACAGACAAACTTGCAAATAACTTTTATGCATTATTAGCCTGTAAATACGCATGTAAAGAATTGGTAGAGGAAGAGAAATGTAATCCTAATATCGAAATAGATGGGTTCACTAACTGAAAGATTGTCTGTTATTCATGGTTTGCAACTAATCCTTCTAAATGGCAAATTTTTAACTTTGGCCATGGACATGAACATAACTTGAACACTCTGTCTTAGTTCAATAAGGCTTGTACTGTTGGGGATTCTTTATTAAAAAAGTGTCACAGGTCTTTTTTGGTGTGACCTTTACCTCTGATCTCACTTGGTCTTCCCATATTTTGTTGTGATCAAAGGACCTGCACCACACTGAGTGTGAACGGAAAAAGACATGCATCTTTCTAGTGATACATTCGTTGCAAGCTAGAGGGATGATGCAATTACTTCATCCGAACTTGTGGTTCTGTTGAGAAATGAGTCTACACTCTATAATGGCTGGAAATGGCCGAACGTAAGCAAAAGGCATTTTAAGATCGAAAAAGTTGAGGCGTATTTGTGGAGGGAAAGTTTGAAAAAGCACACAAATATCGCTAGTCAATGAGAATCTGAGAAAAGAAATGGACTCAACCCTACTGAGTTAACTACCAGGCAACGTAGAAAACCTATGTCTTCAATGCCCGACCGTTGCTGCTACCTTGACGTGGTGGTCATGCTTCCCTACTGTGATGAACCAATCAAGGTCCTACCATGTCAGACAGGTCGATTGAAGAGCGGTGAGACTAAAAGCAGCAAACACAAAGTCTGAGAGCGAAGTCTTACTGTCGACTATACAGAGGTGTGAAGACAGTAGGTTGTTTCCTTCAGACAACCAGCATAACAGCGATGCAGCCTTCCCACAAGGAGGGTGGGGTTAGAAAATGTCGACCCTAAAAATGCACACCTCGCCTTATCCCACGGATATCCGTCTCCGGCGTTAAGGTCCCAACAAGCGCGAAGCTAACACAAAAACTACCCACAAAAAGGTCGTGTGTGACCGACCTTAAGCAGTAGTCCCTTGGGCACTGCGGTCATGCTCTCAGACCACTTCTAATCCAATTTCCTTTTCAGGTACTCCTAGAAGAACCCTTTCACGGTGTCGGCAACCGGGAAGTGATAACTGCCGGCATACCTCTAACAACAATTAAGATCACTGTATTCATAATCAATCTCCTTCTCCAATTCCTATTATTTCTCCCACCTCGACTTTCAACACTAAACTTCCTCTTTTGGCTTCCACAATTGTCACCATGGCCAACAATTCTAGTGCACGAAACACTGTCCCAGGTCTACTAAAACCTCGCTCCAAACTACACATTGGTGCCTTCAACGTACGTACCCTAAGTCAAATCGGTCAACAGGCCTCCTTAGCTAAAACCCTAGAGTCTCGTACCATTGATGTATGCTGTGTCTCCGATGATGGTAAATCAGTTGATGAGGTGTTAAATCTTCATCCACTGAGATGGTTGGGCCACGTGTTACGTATGCCTGAACAACGATTACCACGACGCGCAATGCTGACTAGTATTGGCGATGGTTGGAAGAGAGTTAGGTGCGGTCAAACCAAAACATGGCATCAGTGCTTGAAATCACTAACTTCTAGTCTGAGCCATGTTGGTAGATGCAGACTACCTGGTTGGGGTACGCGTGACTATCGTAACCAATGGTTGGAGACTCTGGGTGACATGGCTCAGAATCGATCACAATGGCGTAGGTGTATACACTCTTTATCTTCCCTTAAACCTTGAGATTAAATTTGCTTCATAACTTTTTTCCTTCCTATACTATATCCTTCTATACAACCTTTCTTTATATACTACCACCACTAAATTAATTACTTCTATGAATCCGGTGTTCATCTTGTTGGGCTAACGAAGTATGACAACTTGGACCGATGCATATATGTGCCTGGTCCTACTTTTTAGTTGACTGACTGGCTGATGTCTTCAATGAAAAGATAAAAGGAAAAAACAGGGAAAGTAATGGTATATTTCAACCGTTCGAAGCAGTGTAATTAGTCGAGGAAGATAATGACGATACACATAAATATACGAAGGCTAAAGTTCAAGTGTATGAAGACAGACTTAATTCGGTGAACAAATTGTGCGAAGGTTTTGTAGAGGAAGTTTCCGGATCGAAGCTCGGAGATGCAGCGTAAAAGCAACTAAGAATCCTAATGAGTGGTAACTGAATGTTGATCAGGACTCTCACTAGAAAGAATGCATTTACTAAACCATATCATAAATTTCTGTCATGGTGCACATAGATGATTGTGAATTAGAACTTTTGTTTCTTAAATTTTCATATGCAGCGTAGTAAGAACGTTACACTTGGAATTACAGGAATTGTGTAGTTTTAATTGTGAATTGAGGCAATATTCGGAGAGCGAAAATACCCAGTGTTATAACAGTTAGTTCTCGATACATTTGTTACTTATATTTTATAAAGCTGAATATTATCTTCCAAACAAGCGATACGTGATCTATCCAAAAAAAGATAGAAAGGCATTCTTAGATTCAAAGGAATTTTTTGTACGTTGAACGTGATAGGAGCCTCGTATCCCTTATCAGTATATCTATCTCATGTTCAATAGATTCGATTGTTATTTGCGGAATAACTGGGTGCTAACGTTTGTTTAGGCAATAATGTACACTTAAATTTATTAAGATTAGGAACTGTCCATCACTCAACAAACTTTGTTTCAGATTTCGACTGAGCTTGAGCATGCGAAACAAAATTAAAATCGACAGTTATATAACTTTCCAATTTGCTTTAGTTCGGATTGTGCACAGACGACGCAGACATTTGCGACAAGTGTGAAGTAAAAAGTTTTTCATCTGGTATCATGTAATGTTCTGTGCGCGGTAATACCATGGAGTTTCACGTCACAACCTATCGTGAGGTAGTTCGTTTACATTTAGTAGTATATTGTCTTGCTAGTCATAAACGTACACGATTTCAACGATGAATTAACGAGTGGTCGAATGTGCGGCTATTCCATGAGGATGCAACTATGAAATGTCACCAAGCATCATAAATTTAACGGGAAATTATCTAACGAGATTGTGAAACTCGCCTGGGCTATTCTACTACTCACTCAATGATGATTTAATGTAAAAAGTTTTTCGAATCTACATAAATCCGTGCGAATCTTGGTTAAATTGAATGTTTTATTGAATTAGTTCTTGGCTAAGGATAGCCCTACACATTGATTCTGTATCGGTCAAAACTGACTGAAGCAAAGGGCGTAGCTTTGACTGCACGAACAGTATGAGTGACATCTAAACTCCCAGGGAATTTTGCCTATTGTCATCGTGAATTTTCGGCATTCGTATTTTCTGTTTGACCGTGGAACTCAATCATTGAAAAGTAAACAGGCAAAGGCCATGTTGGAATAAGATGTAGAGGATAGTCTATGGTGAAAAGCAGAGCAATGTGAGAAGTGAAAAAGGAGGAAGATGGATTTATAGTTGAAAACTGGTCTAGTCTTATTTATATTAAGTGAATAATTTGTAGACACATGTGCATACGCGTTGTCTTGTGGCTAGATTTTTGAGAGACTGATTTTTCAGCAGACATAATACAGGAGCACAACACGCTATCATTGTTTGTGGAGAAGCCACTAGCCGCTTATGCTGATAGTTGACCTGCTATTTCTGTCGGTTGAGTTAGTTGGCCATATTTCAGTGTTAATTAGTGCTGAAATTAATTCTAATCGAAAAACTTACGCAACGAAGGCAGACGCAGGAAATAAAGTGATTATCAAAATCATTATGGTTGTGTATCGTAAAGTCTTACTCATCAGTATAGATCAGCGTTGTTGATGTGTGTGGATGATCAGGATCTAAGGAAGCGAGATGGGATGATGTGATCCCGTTGATTTTGTCAAAGTTACACCTCGCGATCAGTGCCTAACTGGGTACTTTTTATAGTTATAATCAGATGAATCAACTTCTTAAGTGAGTGGCAAGAATAAAGAATCTCTATAAGCGACAACATATATCAAAATTGCCTATTTACAGAACTTCAAGGTAGAAACACTTACACATGGACTCGTCCATATTATGCAGTTGGCTGACGCACATTGTTCGTCCTCGACTTACACAAGCACCGTAAACTGTTCGACGTCCAGTGATTTACTTAGCGGATGATATGCAGGTGTCATTCTTCTAAACTCCCAGTTGAATAAGGACAAAATACGACAGTAAACGGTACGTTCGATGTTATAATACTTCCGACTACTCGTAAATCAAACTTCAGTTCTACTTACGTGATGTCCTTATGCTGTTTACTCCGGAGCTCAATTGATTTGTAACACGTTGTACATAAAGACTATTTTATCAAAAGATGTTGTTACAAAAGATGTTTAAAGAAAGTCCTCTTGGAAATCGCTAGAAAACTATGAGTTGAATAATTGAACATTTCGGGACTTATAAGTTCACGTTGCATATGTTAAATGTTGTTTGAACAAGCTAGTTTTGTAAACAAGACTACTGGCGACTGGTTTCGTTCTTGACGATGAAAGTTTTGGTTGTGCCCTTGTTCGCTCTTTTGTATTCTTTAGTTAATGCTATTGAATTGCCATTAACACCGAAAACTTGTCCAGATGTTTGCGTCACTAAATTTGATGTAAGTATATCCTGTCTAGATCATATATTCACAGATGCAGTTATATAAGGTTCGCACTGTTATTTTCAACAGTTTTCTCCCTTTTATCATCCAGTTGTCTGTTTACTTTCAGAGTGTAATATTTTGTTCAGTCTATTTATTAATTGTCAGTGTAGCTTCAAAAATATTACACCAGTGTCCATTAGATGTGAAAGTAATTATTTTCCTAAACTGCTGCCATTGATTGATCCGGTTTAAGAGATTTCAACAAATTTATTGTCTCAGGGTATCAGGAGAATCCGCTTTCTCCTTTCGTCCTAAATCAGATTAAAGGAAAATGAACCAATTCACGTGTTGCTCTCGCAATCTTACGTACATTCCTTCAAAGGGAGTTACTCTGCAGCTCATTTACCGAGACTTAGCTTACAAGTATGTTTGCCAACTGATTTTCTGTTCAGCTTTGCAGATTTGTAAGCGTTGAATACTTTTTGATCTATATAAGATAATTTCCAACTAGTTTACTAAAGAGTTGTATCATTCTAGCTTTTCGGCATTCAATAATAACCTTGTCTCCATGTAATATAGAAACTTGGACTTCTGCATATGTGGAGAGCTCCACACATTTTCAACGGATTGAATCTCATCCACTTTACAGATAGCATGTAGACCTCTCGTTAACCTCAATTTCGCCGCATTTTTGGTTTGATAACCGTTTTTACGAAGTACTTTCGTTTTGCTTTCAGTCTGGTCATCATATTCCGACGGGAAAGTTAACTGAAGGTCGCTTAACGAAATGACTAAAAGATTTTCCTGATGACTTTCTAGTGTTGCTTTATAAAATGACCTAGTAAATCAATGTTTTGGTGCAGTAAAAGCTGTTTATAATACCTCTAACAAGGCCAGTTTATCTTCAGGGATTTCAAACTGATTTAAAATTAAGTTGGTTGACTGCAGTAGTCAGTATCGGCATTGTGACTACCCAACTCTGAAACTCACTCATGACCATCATTAATTACATACTATAATATGTAGTCTAGATGGATCTGTAGTGCTGTGCTTCGCTAATCGTTCACCTTGATAACCGTTATAATACAAACCTTAACAGTGCATGAAATCAGAAGGCAAAGAAAAGCGGCAATTACAGTTTTATTAACAAATGACGCACATTGGAGATGGTGGGTAAGCCAACTCACTTTAACCAAGCGTTAATCAATATTTATAGTCCGATAAAAATAAATGACAAACATGTGATAAATAGGATAAGAAGTGTACACACACCCATAAAAAATAGTCCGTGTTAATAAGTGAATAATTAACAAGGTCAAAACGTGACTCATGATGGATAGGCAAATTGGCTTGTCCAGAAGCTAAAACAAGGTAATATGGGCTTAACATATCAACCGACACTACAATCTACAGCAATATCAACTTTGTCCGGTCACTTCTCATATTCCATGCTTATAACTACAAATTGGTAGTTTGTTTTCCTTTTTTTTCTTAGTAAATATTTGATTGTAATTCGTACGGAAATACTCAAATATGAATTGTTTGTAGGGGGCTGAAGAAGATGCGTGTTCCAGGGGCTGTGTCCTCTCAAACTTGAATTCATTATCAGCGGCATTTACTTGTGAAGAATCTTGTGATGATGCATACAAGCCGGATACAAAGTTAGTTGCTGCTTGCAAAGTAGGCTGTGGTGCGACACCGAGTCACACATCTATTCGACTTGGGTTTCTGCCTGTTCAAAAGTAATGTTAAAATTAAATGTAAACTAGTCTTTTCAGCTTCTTTAGCAGTTTCTTCGACAGTATTCGTCATTTATTGGGAGGCGTAAATAACGGTATGATTTCTTAAATTACTGAATGTTTCCACGTATTCTTACTCCCTAGCATTTTTTTCAAAATTTTCGAAATGTTTTGATTACCAAACTTAGTTCTTTACTTCTGCAAAATAAATAAATTTTGATATTCCAAAGTGATATACCATTCACTTCTAAGTAGGAGTCCTTCAGATTAAAAGTAGTAAAAGTTTAGTTCACGTGAGATGGCAGTGCAAAAATATGAAGAATACGTTTTAGTGATCAAATAGAAATTGCCATAATTGTTGTATAGGTGCTGGTGTTTATTTCAGCCGTGGATAAAGCGTATTTAACCTTGTTACGATTAATTTCCATGCATTTATTGCATTAATTTCTCCCAGTGACGTTTCGTAGCGTTTTTATTTTTCTTTAGGTTCGGGAGCCAATGCGGATACCAAAAGTAATAAGGTAGACGGCGACATGGATTCAGATTCTGGTAATCATGTGGTCATATCACGCGTTCGCATTTTCCATAACTTTGCCCCATGTACGTTTTAAGTAATGTTTGTTACCAGCTTCAGATTTTATTGTTTTTCTCTTTTCACCATTATGCAAACATGCTGGCTGGTTGACTACGCTTTTCAGCCACCACTTTCATTCCGACCTATTCAACCTTCTAAAACAGTTAAGATGAAATCTGTGTCAATAATTTTTGCACAACTATGATAAAAGTTGAAATTAGTCACTCCTAAATTACCTATTCGCGCTTTTTAACAGTCCATAACCTACCCAGAGTACTTAGTCAGTATATACCAATTGGATGGAAGCAGTTGTTATATTTCATTATCTGAACACTGCATTCCATTCTATCAAAGAACAGGTGTCATATCATTGCTTGTCACTATAAGACGGAGCATAGAAGTGTTGAGACTTGTTATTTACTCAAATATTTTCGAAGTTAGCTATCTCCTGTAAACTGGTCAGGTAGATAATGTTAAGGTCAGTCTAATATCGCCCAATCTAATATGTAATCGCCCTCACTAGGTCAGTAGATGTTTCAAGTGTTTGGTTACACCGTACTTACCTGAGCAAATGTGGTTATAACATGGGACTAATCATCTGGTAATTAAACCAAAATAGATCATTAGCGAAATGTCGGACTGTAAGTTACTGTATTATTTTATATTATATTGACATTAACCAGTTTATTAGTGTCAAGTTTTGTGTATCGTACATCACACGTTTCTATATAAAAGTTCGATTTCTGTGTTTGACTTATCAAATTTGTGTTAATTTTTTCCGAACAAATCTCCTACCTATGGATGCAGTTCTTTGGAACAGATTTATACAAATGTAATATTTTCGTTTAATAATCAGAAGAAATATTTACGTCACAATGTTTTTGAGAAGCGCTTGTGCCTTTTTCATTTTTTAGATGACGCACATGAAAGTCCACTGGATTCACCATTCGATATAAAACCACTTTTTAGTTTACGAGGAATTATTCCACAAGATGATGATGCTTATGTCAAAGCTGTAAAAAATAGTGATCAGAATATTATTCGTATACATGCCGTCAGTGGTGATGGTGAATCAACCTTTCATGAACACCAACCTACATTTGTTAGAAAAGCTACTTACTTCTTCCGTCATATTATGTTTCGACCACTTTTATTACCATTGCTTATCGCATTGCTGATTGTGATATTATTATTAATGGTGAAGTTAACTATTCACGCTTGTCGCGTTCGTGAACATCGGCATATAGAGGTAAGTCATGCAAACCTTAACAGTAAATTGCTGTAAGAGATAACCAGTTTGTTTAGTCAAGGATATCAGAAAGTCATGCACGATTTATGTTCGATAATTTTGTTGGTGTACATTAAAAGTGAAGCTCACTTTGGTTAACAAAACAATGCACTAATAAAAACTTCAAATCAGCGTTTTCTAATAAAATTATAGATAAATTATAAGCCTTTTGTCCCATACGATTGTAAGAGGACTTATTTATCGACCTTCATCATAATCTAAGCATGTAGATTACTTGTTGATTTGACATTCAAGATCGGAATATTCATTGTGCAGCTGCAACAAAGCAGATGGTAGGGACATCAATTAAACCTCTCTTCAAAAGTAAATAATTGTAAATTGTAATGTATTTCTTATTGAAAAATTTATCGTTGACAACGCTAGATCAGAAGTCGAAATACACTATTTTACTCCGAGCTTACCAAAAAAGCAAACCAATTAGAAACAATAGCCTAGTGTTTTCAAACTTGAAGGGGGTTCACAGAATGTTCTTAACCAGTTAGTGAGTATCCAGCTCGAACAAACAAACAATCACCAAGAATTTCTTCAAATGTTCATAAGTATTTGAAACAAGGCTACTACACTGTCAATTTTTAAATCCTGTTATAAGTGTTTTAATTAAAAGTTAGCTGGAATGTATTACAAATAGAATATTCATCTTGTCATATTTCCCTAACCAAATAGGAATTATACAGTCATCGTTTTCAACTATTTGAGTATTACATATTAGTAGCTTACGTCGAGTCTGATCAGTTGTAACGCTCAGAGAATTTGTTCAAACAGTTTATTCAGAAAATCGTGTATATCTAAGCTATGGAGGTGCTATTGATATGCCTACTCGCATTTATGAAGGTTTATATTGCGTCACCAACTACATCGATGTGGTCATAACTGGAGCCATAAAAGTTAATATTCAGTGTAGTTGTACAATATTCACCTGTTTCCTACTATAATTTGGTGTAGCACAGTTTTGTAGGATGTGAGAATAATATCATAGTATGTATACGATAAGCTTTCATATAGTGGAAAACCAAAACGTTTCATGCCAGTTTCAAATTCTGGTGCCGTCATGATGTTTTAGTTATGGAATGTTAGCTGTAAAACTTTATAGCTTTATACTTGGGAATTAATTTTTTGAACGCCAAACATTTTTCGGCTTTGTTATCAGTCGTTATTGTTTCGGTCACAAAATCGTGTTGATAGTGCTGTCATCTGACAATTTTATGTCTTGATGTGGTGTAAAGACTGTTATTCAGTCAATGATATAATCGTAAAAAATCAGTCTCCGTGACTTGAACATGTCTCAACCACTCAATTTCGGTGGCTTGTATATAGAGCAATGTTTTGTGACCCAGTGACTATGTATTTGAAAAAAATTACTGAGCTTTTGATTCATTATTTGAAGATTGGAAGCAGTCAATTTGACAACAATTATCTAGATTATCATTACTACGTGAATAAAGTTATCTATATTTTCCAGTTTATTGATTTCAGTAGTTATCTTTGACGGCTCAGCATCGAAGCCAGTGTCCATTTACTGGAGTTTTATTTTGTATCCAACATAATTACAAATCCACTTTAAGCAGAATGAAATTTATCTTCACTGTGTTTGGATGCAAAGAATTCTCGTGCCATTTTATGATTCTCATTTCATACGATTGTTATTCTATATTGTTTAGGGCATTTCTTCGTGTCTCATTTTACCAGATTTTTATGTGAAGACAGTAATGACTGTATATAAAATTCGTTTTTTATTTACCTTCGGTCGAAATATCTTTGTAGCGTTAACTTTTTTTCGAAGAATCCATCATTTTCTGTAAACCTCTTTTCTGGACATCAGAGAGAGATTACCGTGACTTTTTGTACCTAAATTCGCAAATATAAAGTTCGTTATTCTATGGAAAAATAAACTTGTGGATACATTACAAGAAAGTCACTTGGGTTTTGTTGCATTTATCATTCTATCTTTCACTTACTTTCACTGGTTTTTATAGATCTTGGTGAAAGTGTTTTGCATTCTGAAATGATATATTATGAAGTATCTTATTTTCAGTTCATTTGTATTAATTGTTCGAATCTTCTCATTGATAATTTGGGCTAAAATTGGTCAGTGTCTCCACTGTATTGTATAAACCAATGGCTATTCGGACTCTGTAGCTGAGTGGATAACGTAATGGTATTTTTAGCAAACAGTACCGAGTTGGAGTCCAGGAGTGAAGAACCTTGGAATGCAGGTACATCTAGTTGAAGATTCCCAGACAGGACAAAACGTGCATCCTGGATTCGGCTGCTAGCCATCACCTATTTCTGTTTATAGTTTATTTTTAACATACATAGCTGCAAATGATCACCATATATTTGTAAGTATATGACATGATTTTTTTCTTTTCAGTATGCTCGTTTGCCAACGTATATTGAAGCAATGAATGTGAAGGTCCCATTGTACGAAGATGTGATAAAATGTGAGAAGTCATCCGAAAAAGGCCCGATTGATGCCTAACCTCTACAAATTATTTGAGAATATTTCTTTTTTTTCAATAGTTGTGATAAACACATTATTCTGTTGTCATCATCATAACACTCACTTGCTCATGAATGCATTGGAGTAAACACTCAAGCTCTCACGTTTTGTCATTATCCCCTTATTTTGACCGATTTTCTGTTGTGTTGCTTTGGTCTATGCTATTGTGTTTGTCACTCCTCAAACACTAAGGTAAATAATGAACTGGAACACGTTTTTTTGTGGCACTATTTTTTGGACCAAATGATTTCTTTCTTGTCTTGTTGCTCTCATATTAATAACTGTCATCACCACTGAATCTTTTTTTCTGATCGCGTTATTTTCATAGACTGTTCCTTGTTATTATTGCTTCAATAAATATCTTAACGAAATGTTGTATTTTCTATTTGAGATGTGATTTGTTTCTGTTATCATTCTGTACTATGTTCATCCGAAATTATATTCATTTGACTTACCAATTTATAGTACATTCGAGGCGAAAGTAATTTCGACGGATAGATCAATAATTTTTGGTGACAAGTTTTTTAGTAGATTTGTTTGTTTCATACACTTATTTTAGTTTTAGTTTGTAGTGAAGACTTATTGTGACTTAATAGATGGAATTATTAATTATTTGTTTTGTTTCTTTCGGTACCTGGATTTATATCTACAAATAACTGATCATCGGCTGTCAGCGCAAAGCATTATCAATATAGTTACAAGTTAACCTGTCTTAAATGTAATTGTGAATATATATACACATTAAATTGTAAATAAACGTTTTGTGTAAGTGCACTGAAAGTGACCCTCAATCTGATACCGAAGTTTCTGGTTCGTTGACTATGTGTTTTGTCAATTTATACCAGTTATTGAAGCGTAAACGGATATATTGTTCAGATTAGAAATGGTTGTTTGTTCCGATATGCTAATGACCACTTTTTCTAGACCCTATTCTCTATTTATAAACCCCATGTGACTACTGCTAAGCCTTGAGACACGTTAAAAGTTGATCAAATATCAATCTCTTGAAGAATCTGTGTTAGTTTTTTGTTAAGTGCATAATTGATGAGTAGTGCTACATGGTTCTTTGAACTTGGAGTCATGATACTGCATTGTTTGAGCCAACTCATTCATATGTTGTGTGTTGTGACTTACTTCCTGTATGTTTTCTGATTTTATCTGTAGGCGATAGTGTTGAATTTTTCACTTGAATCCTCAAGATGACAGGCATTTATAGTTCGGTGACTTTAGGTAATATAATTGTGAATTTTTAGCAGTGACACATGTGAAATAGTGGGAATTGATTAGTACCAGGTACCTGTTTAGTGCTATTCGGTTTTAACTGAAACTAGTTGATCCTAGTCTGCAGTTGAGACTAGCCTCGATTTGGAAGAGCTTTCTGCTATAGTAATGATTCTTGATACTATTTATTCTTAATACTCGTTTAATACAATTTCTAGAACTTTATAATGTGAGTTAATTTAGATAACTAAAATAACTCATAATGTCATTGAATAAGAAAAAGAGAATTCAGCGAAGAAAATTTTCTTTTCGACGAAATCATTTACTTAAGCTGTACATTCGTATATATAGTAATATGGAAAATATATGTCTATAGGGGGCTAGAAAGGATTGCATTATAAATGGATTCGACAATAAATAACAAATGAGGTGATGTACTAATCTAGGGGTAAGGAAGAAAATAATTTATGGGTCAGATAATAGTTCAATTGACAGATCTGAAGAAAAGCGACAAACACAAAGGTCATAATAATAACTGATAATAACCCGATAATAATCAAATAAAAGTACAGAGAAAAAACAACAACCAAAAAACGTACCCAATGAGGGACTTAGGGCCAAGGAAGGGTAAGAGGTTGAACAAATCGTTTCTGCACGCAAAGTTCAGGCTTGAATTCATGGATTTCAATCCAACTATTATCTGACCCATAAATTATTTTCTTCCTTACCCCTAGATTAGTACGTCACCTCATCTGTTATTTATTGTCGAATCCATTTATAATGCAATCCTTTCTAGCCCCCTATAGACATATATTTTCCATATTACTATATATACGAATGTACAGCTTAAGTAAATGATTTCGTCGAAAAGAAATTTTTTTTCGCTGAATTCTCTTTTTCTTATTCAATGAGTTAATTTAACTAAACCAGCTTCAATGGGAACCAACGGAATACCAACACTGAAATCCAAGGTATATGTGACAGTTATTTATACCACCTGTGAGGCATTATAGTCAATCTGTGTGAAGAATCTACTAAACTATCTTATCTCATTGTTAAATTAACAAGGATCATTTTTTGTTATTCTACCTGTTCTAGTTTGTTTCTTATTTAAAATAACATTGATCTGCGAAATACCCATCGTAGTTGAAAAATTAAATAGTAATTTGGAAAACCATAATGCCATGGAACAACTTTTGAGTTGTGAGTTTTTTACGCTGAAAAATCAAGAAAGAATTGTTGGAGAAATTATTTTCTTACAGTAATATTATAGATAGGAGAGAATGAGTGTCGATCTTCACACTTTAAGGCTTAACACCTGAGGTAATTAAGGAGATATTTTAAAATTCTTTGTAAACCGAACAATAATGAATCGTGGTGTATAAGAAAGAAGACAGGAAGTTATAAATAAGGGAACAATGTGATTGGGAAGAGTAAAACGATTTTTTTAATGTCAGGTTTTTATGGGTAACATTTCGTAAATCGCATGTATATTATATAGTTTCATGAAATAGAAACCTCGTAAATAGTGGCTTAATGCTTGATAACTTCGCTCAGCTATTTCAGCGCATGGTACAGTTTAAACATTTAATCTAAAAAACCACATAAACTGGTAAAAAAAACATTCATCTTATCACTACATGCCATTCATTTGTAATGTGCATTGTGTAATACTCGTTAATCATTTATGATTGATGACTTCAAATGCATCTCTACGACCTACTCCATCATGCTATTTTTGATTATCTAAGTTCATTGAAACGTATTCCTACTAATGAGTTACTGTTCGATTTTATTTTTACATTGTACTTGTTACCTAGAAGTAAACTAGTCTAAATCTAACAAGTTTGTTGACTCATCTTTGAACCATGTGTTTTTGTTTGAGACCCAGTCATGTACTGTCTGTCAATGGCAATGCCAAAGTAAATGATACGTAATGATTGAAAGTCGATTAGTTTATCCAACACACCTCCACTTAGCTAGTAGTTTAGATTGGAAGATGCGTATAAATTAACGATATAAAATTTATAGATGGATAATAAACATTCAATTGGTCAAATGACTAAAAATATATTAACCATTTTATTTACTATCCAGATCAGTTATACTATCACATCATTTGAATCAACATGTAAACGCAAATATTCTTGAATAAAGTTCACTTGATCCTTTGAAAAAAGTCATCTAATTGTAATATTTAATAGCAGTGATAAAAATGAGAATAATTTACTGAATTATTTACACTTCTTACCACTCGTGAAGGAGCATAGGCCACCCACAAGCATTCTCCATCCAACTCTGTCCTGGGTAGTTCTTTCCAGTTGCTATTCATCCTTTTCATGTCTGCTTCCAATTCTTGACGCAAAATGTTCTTTGATCTTCCTCTTCTCTGTTTACCTTCAGGATTCCAAGTTAGCGTCTGCTTCGTAATTCAGTTTGATTATTTCCTCTAAACATGTCTTATCCACTTCCAACGTCTTTTCCTAATTTCCCCTTCTGATGGAAGCTAGTTTGTCCTCTGCCACAGTAGGCTGTTGCTGATGGTATCTGATCAACGGACATTGAGTATCTTGCATAGACAATTGTTTATAAATGGTTGTAGTAGTTCTCCAATTTTCAGCTCCATACAGTAGGACTGTATTGACGTTCATATTGAAAATTTTGCCTTTGATGTTGGTTGACAGTTGTTTAGAGTTCTATATGTCCTTCAACTGTAGGAATAGTGTCCTTGCTTTGTCAATCCTCGCATTCACATGTGCATCGGATCCTCCTTGTTCATCAATGATGCTTCCCAGGTACGTAAAAGATTCCACATCTTCCAGAGCTTTTCCATCAAGTGTGATTGTGTTGGTGTTCTCCGTGTTGTGTTTGAGGACCTTCGTTTTTTCCTTGTGTTTGTTGAAGCCTACTGATGCATATGCTGCTGCTGCTACACTAGTTGTCTTCATCTGCATTTGTTGGTGTGTATGGGATAGAAGGGCCAGGTCATCTGAAAAGTCCGAATCTTCTAATTGATTCCGAACTTTCCATTGTATCCCGTGTTTCCTCTCATATGTAGAAGTTTTCATAATCCAGTCAATCACCAGAAGAAAGAGAGAGGGGGAGAATAGGCAGCCTTGTTTGACTCCGATCCTCACTTGGAATGCGTCTGTCAGCTGTTCTCCATGCATGACTTTGCAGTGTAGTCCATCGTATGAATTCTGTATGATATTGACTATCTTCTCAGGTACACCATAGTGTCGAAGAAGTTTCCATAACGTTCTCCTATCCACACTGTCAAATGCTTTCTCATAATCAAGGAAGCTGATGTAAAGTGACGAGTTCTATTCAATTGAGTGAATCCACAATAACTTCGTACATTAAAACTAATCTCTGTAAACGAAATTTCTGTGCTAAACTTCCTTTTTGCCACATTTACAATATGGAGACGCTGTCACAAAAAAATTATGAATGTATCCTGGAAGATCTTTATCATAGATTGTGTTCATATTTAATTAAAAGTATGACACAGTATTGCTAATTATTTCAATACATTATCTTAGTATCCCATTCTCACCTCAATTCACTACTTAGCGTAGTAATCGTCTGTAAGAAAGTAATTGTAACATCTATATTGGCTCTATCCATTAGAAGCTTATTAAAAGATATCGCTTAACTTTCCGTACAACTAAATGTAGTAATATAAATCTCTTTCTAAAAGTCTGTCATATATAGACAATCCCAATCTCCATTGTTTTCTAGTTTTTTTTTTTACAGATATCAACTCTTCAGCGTTGTTATTTGCGACTCATTGGTATATGTAAACATTCATGTTATTTTAGCTAGCCAATAGTTATTATTATAAATTGTACGAAACTGCAAAGAATATAGGAGTGTGTTTTTAAAAAGTTGGACAAAAGTAGCTATTCGTTTTTTTAAACTGTTGGATTATGGCTGACAATAGAATCTAGGAAGTGTGTTCTCCACTATCCAGGACTCGTTAGGTTTATTTTCTTGCATCGCAGTACTGATTTTCATGTTGAAATTCGAATCTAGTACTTGCGGTTCAAATACCTAAGGCATTGTCCACTGAGTTACTGCGCCCATATAATTACTGGTTTATGCAAAGGGTACAAATTTTATTTATAAGAGCATGTTTTTTCTCTACTGTTGAAACGGGAAATAAAAAACTCTTATGCAACATACATATCTATTTGTCCCATTTGAAAACGAGTAATTATTGGTAATTAGATTTGATGACAATAATGTTTGACTTGTTATAAACTTCATAATATGACCCTTCTCATTTTCATTGTTTGAGAATTTTACTGTTTTTTTACTCAATACGCAGTTTAAAATGATAAATCGTATTTATAAATTAGGGGTTTGACAAAAAAATCGTAGTTGACTTTTTGGCATTTATCATCAGTACAAAAATGTACTACTTTTTATTACACTTAAAATAATCGATTGTTTTCATTTGAAAGTTATACTTATTTAATCAACTTCGTTTATTATTTTTTTGATATACTTGACGGGTGTTAGATTTGTAAGTTTGGTTTAGTCCTTGTTAGTTATGAGCAGTCAAAGCATACTTTGAATTCTTGAAAATTGGTATCTCCCTTTAAGTTTAAGTTTTGTTCTTTAAAGATATCTCCGGTAGTATTGAGTTTTCTGAGATGGATGTCTTAATTATAAAGACCCCAAATGCTCTGGTACGGCCGAGAATGGGAAGAGTCCGTTTTCCCTCTCGAAATGCTCTCACATGACCACGCGTATATAGCATCTGCCAGGGAAGTCCTACTCACTGCCTTCTCGTGGCGGGGGTGTTGTTTACGAAATTGAGAGAACGAAAAGCGAATGTCCGGCGCTTTAACCAGATCGGTGAACACGGAAAGTCCACCTAGGGCAGTTGGAAAACCTTGATTCCAAACCAATGGTGCACACGGGCTCCAGTATCCTGAAGGAACAAACAGTGTGTGAACCAATCGTTGGTGACCGGCTAGCATGGGACTGCATCTCCTTACGACGCTCCACTGCCTTGTGGATCAGACCTTTAGGTCGAAGGCTCGAGGTGTGGCCCCCTGAGAAAACCACCTGCTTCGGTCTGGGCACCCGGGCAGTATCACAGCCCTCACACAAATCAAATGAAATTCGTTTGGCGCATGTATATTTGGTGCTTCATTGTACCACTATTTATGTGTTTTAATAAATAAAAAATTTCATCAGCGTTTACTTCCAGTTTAAGTGAACATTTTTCACTACCCTATAAGTATTCAGTCAGTCTATCCTGATAACCTTGCTTCCGACTGTTTTATCTCCACAAATTTTCTATCATTTTTAGCACGTCTTAATGATTGATTCTTCCATAAGTTTATCACGTTAATGTTGAATGAATTATTTAAATGAATCGGTCACTATATGAGCCATCATTCTGTAGTTGACCCAAATATTTGAAGTTTATACTGAAGTAAACCATTTTTTCTTTCAAGTTCCTTTAAACACTTACACACGAGCTATGTTTGGCTGTCATTTAATGTTAATGCACTCGGCTTTCAATAAACAGATCCCAGGTTCGTGTCTCGTTCCTCCTAGCTCTGTTTAAGCAGCTGGTTAATTTCATTCGTCCTCAGATCATAAATATAAATCAGAGCCCAATACATAAATTTGTAGTTGGTTTATTCATTAGACGTAAAATTCATTCGATCAGCATGAAAGCTGTGAATATCATGAAATTATGCTGTGCTACGGTCTTCTTGTATTGTAGGTATTTTCATGTTGTAGTTGTTTTGTGCATTTTTTGAACAATATTATATAGATATTAGTTAAATTTGGTTAAATAACTTGATATATTTTCTGCTTCTTTTCATTGTACCCTTTTAGTAATGGCTAAAAGTATTTACGAGTATGTTCGAAATTTCGAAACTGTAGACCCCTGTCTTCCTTCCACATGGATTGTTGTTCGTTTAGATGGACAAAGTTTTCATAAATTTACAACAAAGCATAATTTTGACAAACCGAACGATACACGTGGTTTATTGTTGTCAGTACGTGGAGCAGAACGTGTTATGCAGCAACAGAAAGAAATTGTTCTGGCTTATGGTCAATCAGATGAGTTTAGTTTCGTATTTAAAAAATGTACGGAAGTGTTTAATCGGCGAGCAAGGTAAGATAATTGTTGTCTTGTTAATTGGTACTACAAATTTCTATATTTATGTTTGCCTTTGAGTAGTGTTACTAGTTTGTAATAATTTATTAACTAACTTTACATGTATGAATGTGGTCAAATTTATTTCCAAAAACTGTTGACCATGAGTATTCGAAAGAATAGCATACTATCCCAGTGTAATTTTCAAAGACAGTTTAGAATATGTGTTTGTGTTCACTTATGTTGATTAACTGTTAGTGATAGCTGGAACGGTAATGTATTTATCAACCAGTGTGTTGAGGATAAATTCAACAACCATACAACTAAGTACAGATTGAAATTCCAATCTGTATAGATTTTGGTTCCATCAGAATATCTGTTTAACTGTAAAACATTGCACATACATAACTTCGCTTATTGAAGTGTCTTATTGAGGATATTCAAATGTAAAGTACTTGCTTTATCATATAGAAATAGTGAAGTTTGGCAATATGTTTTGAGTTTAGTGAACAGTGTTATTCCATTGTCTACTTCATTTATCTTCCAAAAGATTTCCCTTTTTTACAAACTATCTATATACAAAGTCTGTTTTTTGATTGGCTAAGAACTGGCTAAAAAATTGTCGTGGTTGCTTTTTTGTTCATTCCCATGGACCATACTCTTACTAAAATATTGTCCAAATCGAAATAAAGGATCAACAAGGTTTTAAGAAAAAGAGTCACATCATACTGTTTATAACATCAAAATTAAAGTCAATATAATTAGGATAGATTTTATGTTTTAATAAGTTTTCAATGATTAGCTTTATCGTACAGATCAACTGTTTTGTATCTTGTATTTGTATCTCCTCACTGTATTCCGTTTCATATAATGTTAATAGATGAGTCCTTAAGATTTATTTTATCTACAAATATTTTCTTTGAGCACTTTCCCCGATATATAATATCTGACACGATGGAGATTTTGAATGAGTATAATTGAGAACACATTTTATTATTATAATACACCCGACCCAAACAGAGATCAGTGGAAAATCAATACAAAGAAATGCAGATTATTACATACCTCTCATATATGTGGAGCAGTTTTTCAGAGGTTAAGATGCTCAACTTTTAACCACTACGTCTAGGGTTAGAAACCTTCTTTTACCTAAGTCCGGGAAACCAGGTAGTATCACTAGCCCTCATACCTAAAGTTTCATTCAAAGTCAAATGCACAAATCTGTATCTGGTAATGAGGTTCTATTGTCTAAACAAAAACAACAAGAACATACAAATGTTTAATTAATTTAAGTATAATCCGACTCATGAAAGTCCATTAGCCCACTATGCATTACTGTCGAACCAAAATCTATGCATAACTTTATTTAAATTACGTTTAAACCTGTCATGCACTATTTTATCTGTTTCACAAAGGAACAATACTAATTAGCATAGGGAAACAAACACTAGTAAAAATGCAACTATTGAATAAAAAAATGAGTACTTATCATCCGTACAAGATCAATCTATTGTTAGTTAACGTGAGATAACTCTCACTAATATTAAACCTAACCATAGTGTTGAATGTTTCATCGTCAACTTGGTTATTTACTTTTCCTGAAAAGACAAATTCTACTCAGTTACCAGCTTCTCTCAGTAAGTATAAATTTCGTGTATCATAATTAATCGCTCCAGTTATGGTGTTCTAGCCAGATTGGTAGTTAAAGTCTTTTCGGATGAGGCCTCAATTGGCCCTTTTGGAATGAACTTCGTGTTTTAAAGGCTCAAAAACCCATTACGTGGAAGTGATTTTGTGGGAACCGCGACCCCACAGGTCTTTACGTGTATCTCGGTATCCTAAAAAGAGCAAGTAAAGGATTTTTGAAGTTTTTATTTGCCCTGGTTAGGTATAATCTATATGCATACTAGGTAACACACAGAGTTTCATCTGAGATTGTTTTGGTATATATACAGGTATACCTTCCCTGTGAGCAAATATACGTTGCATGCACACCTGTAACACACAGGTTTTACCCCATCCATTCCATAATATACATATAGGTATATTGACCTACTTAGGAGGGTAGACGTTGATCACTCCCTTATAAATGTATTTGTTACACCAGACTGTTTTTTACACATTAGATGCATACCATTCAGCCCATGTCTATTGTAGCAGTACCTCTTGATGCACACATAAGCATTCTCTTAGGTAGGTTGCTGGTCGTCTATCCCCCGTATTTGCTACCTTTTTTGTACTATGTCTTCGTACTGATAGATCAGGCCTCTGATTTCATTAGATATAGGACAGACAATATTTTAGCTAACGTTTCCCCTACACGACACCACACGTACACCCTTTGCATATACCTACATACATAAACTACATAGACCCGAGCACTTCTATAATTCTTATACATGAACATACACATCACATGGCCCGGTGAGGTTATGTGACCCTAAAGTAGAACCCGAATTGATCAAAGATACAACAGAGTGGATGATCAGTCCGATCTTTGTCGACTGCCTACGTTTGCTAGTAGGGTCACCCGATTATCCAGCAGCGCCGCGAGGAGGCAATAGGTCGGATTTTTCTGCCGTTATATAAACTGTTTTGATTATTATTACATCTATGATGACAGTACTATGACAGTACTCAATCTTGTATCTTAAATGCTTAGATTATTCACGTTAATTGTTTAGTCAGTTGGTACATTATGTCATCGTATATTTTCTTTCTAATTTTTTCTTTTTTTCTTTGTTCAAGTCATAAATTTACATAAGTATTTTGAGAATTTCTCTTCTAAGTGGTAACTTTTCATTATGGTGAAACTTTTTAGTGTTATATGATTAGCTAAGTGTTAGTGAAGTTTCCCGGGAAGTACAGTTTGACTAAATCTTCCCTTATAAGTACTGAAAGTAACTTTCTTGTCACAATGTTTGAGAGTTGTGAACTTGATTATTGAAAAGAATCAATGGTAACTTTGGGTTTATGTATTTATTAAGCCACTTTACAATACAATTGTACATTTTAATTAACACTATCGTTGAAAAGAGAATTTTCTTAGCTGAATTACTTTTATTCTTTGTGATATGATTGTTAATGTCAGAAGAGAGGAAATTTTTGATAAACCGTATATACAGAGGAGAGGAGTCTATTTTTACTATTTGATATTGCTAACTGAAGGAAGTATTCAACCACATAGGAGAGGAATTTTGAATTTACCTATAAGGAACTAATGGTTAGCCATATCGAGTTGAGTAAATATTGTTGAACAACTGTACGTGGCATGTTATGCAAAATATATATCGTAGGAATCTATTCTTTTGATGTAGGAATCCATGCTGTAAATTCGTAACGAGCTTTTCGCTGTGTAAATAATCGGACATTTTGTCCATAATTTCACAGATAACTAGCATGACATTCATAGGATTGTAATTGTATTTATTGAACAACTGATATTATATCATCAAGGGATGATTTATCTGCTAATAATCGAATTTCGTCAAATGACTGGGCAAATTAATACATTATAAATAATGGTCAAAAGTTTAGAAACACTGGACAACTGTTTTGTCCTGATAGAAGACTCTTTATCACTGCTTATTTACACCTAGAATTTTAGCCATTGAGCTTGTATCTAATAGTTTGCATGTCTAACTTTAATCAATTCCTTATAGTGTTGTAACATTCAGTATTCTCCACAAACCCTTATACTCATAATTAACATTTGCTCATTACTGACTAATTTTGAAAGATATTTCCTAGAATGCTAATACGAATCCGTCATCACTGTGAAGTCTGATATTGTAAAGTGTGATGAAGGTATTCATCAGAAACAGTAGGAGGTGGTTATGCGATATCACGGATTCACTAAAGTTAGTCATATACACCATTGTATTGCGCTTCAATGGTCTAGAAGTTGGGCGTTCACACTCGAGACTGAATGTCCCAGCAAAAAAACAACATTATCATAAAGTGAAGATGTGTGTATTGATTGGAAATTCATACACTTATTCACATATATTTGTCAACATTCGTCTATAAGAAAACTAGTGGGGTTGATAATTACCATTGTGTAGCCAAGTTCATTTGTCCACTAAATAATTTTAAAAAATTAATAATCTGATACTATCACCTACATTTTAATACTACTCTTTTCGTGTGTGTGTGTTTTTAGTGATTGTTATTTATATCAGATGTTTAAGATCAGAGCTGTGAGTGATGATATTCATAGTGATCAACCTTGGTTAGTATACCATCAAAGTTTAATGCTAACGAAGCATAAAGGTGAAGAAAATTGCTTAAACATGACTGATAATAGTAATATGAATTATCTTTTCTATTTGATATTAATCTTTTACAAATTCATTGCATAATATTCAAGATTAGTATGTTTAAAATGATCTGAATGAAGCTCAGTCAATCAAGCCAGTGAATTTTAATACAGCACTTGACGGGATTGTTCATTGGTTCAAATTGTCACATCACCTTAATAAAATAAAAATAATACATAGCAGAGGAGTGGTAGTAATAGCAGCGTTTTCGATTGCGATGTAGAGAATATTTGTAGAAAAGATCATTTAAAATGGAGGAATATATGTATGAAACGAAATCTTTTTCACTGCGATCGATTCTTATCAATTTTACCCCTTGTCCCTAGTTAAAATGTCTTCGCTTCGTGTCACGACGTCAATGACTTCGTGAACTGGTCTCACGCCGTGGTAAATTTAAGGAGCTACTTGGTTTAACAGACTCAATATAAGCCTTGAATTTATCCATAGCACCTGAATGAAGAGTCTTCCATAGTCTACGTACCATTTGGCTACCCCATTCAATGATAGATAATACAATAAAGTCTCTCATTCGAAAAATTTGAATACTAACTTCAGACCATTGGATATGACTAAAGTCGAACGTATACCTACGGGTAATTAAAAGCTAGTTGTACGATTTCCTAAAGTGTTCTCATCGTGGTGTCTGAATAAATCATAATTTCCAAGTGAACCCATCTTCAATATACTGAAAATCCTCACCTTTAAGTAAAGCTGTTTTTGCCAGGATGTGATGATATCTCTCCTCAGGTTGAGTAGTTGAAAGAATGAACGTTATGTCTGTTTATATTTTCTAGCTGTACATTTACATTGTTTGAAAGCATTTTCTCTTAATATCAAGTTACCGAAATAGGTAATAAGATAATTTATTTGTGAGCAGTTGTCTCTCTTAAAACACTCCATAAGTTCAAAACTATGACCCTCCTGTTTGTGATACAGTACAGTTATCAATGTTTTACATGCTCAAACATCACCCGTAAACAAGTAATTTGTCATTATTATCTTGTAAGGAAAGTGTATATAGGGAAGGTATTTTGTGAGTACTCTTGAGGTTAGATAAAGTTCGCTTCATGTATATATTAAACAAATCGATTAATTTCTAAGCTTTCATCATCTTAACTAATAAGAACATATGTATGCATTGTGTAATATCAGAAATATCACTAAATAACAAAGTCGTTTACTGTTTAGCTGGTTATTTTTCAATGGTCTCCCAAATGATATTATTCCTTAATGAAAACTACTGTCAAACTGAACTTATCTCCACATACTAACTTTGCTATAAGTGCATATTATATCGCGACTCACTTGATAGATTCCAAAAGTTTGAGTAGAACATCCTAAATGATGAAGTTCAACTGCATTGGGACTGAGGTAGATATCGCTAATTTCATTCTATAATGCTATCACCTTATTGTAAACTGATCGGATTTGACAATTTGGCCAATTAGATTCCGACTCAGTGACTTGGTCTTATAACTATTGTAGCTAATCCTTAAGGTGGTGGTGTGTATTCATGAGACTTCCCCAATTAAGGACTAAACTACCGAGCAGTGCTCCCAGGCTTTTAGTGATTCCCTAGTTAATTTCAGACCATGACAACAGTAATTACTAAAACTTTTTTTCTGTCGTTTTTAATGTACTAAAAACTATAGGATGCTTCATTAGGGCTTTAAAAAATAGCTTAAACTAATGATTAAAGTTGACATGGTTCAAAGCCAGTCCCACTGATGTAAATTAATTGATTAGTAGTTTAACTTTTCATTTAGAACTACCTATCTGCCCTATTTAAGACTGAATGCCTATCATCTATTCATTTGGTAATCTTCGCTTTGTTGTTATTTTTTAAAACTGTTATTATTATCTATACGAATATTCGTCAAGATTAGAACGAATAGTTTGACAATAATTGGGCGCCGAGTATAGAGAATTCATTATATGTGAAAAAATTATATTTGAAATAGTCTCAGCGATTGAATCGTTATTATGACTGAAATCAATATGAGTTATGTTTAACATTACAATTATGTACTTGATGATTCTCATTTTATTTGCAACTTCGATGATTCCGAAAGGAGAAAAACATTTCAACCTTCATTTTGCACTTTTATCCCTATTTTACTTCACATAGAAACATTTCAACACTGAATATCATTCAATAATAACTCATCTTACACATATACATACATACACACACTAAATTCATGCAGTCTCGTTTAATTCACATCGTTGAACTTTTCACTTGATTCTCATTCAACTGACTCATATTATCCTGTTTACAAAAACCTCGACATCCAAATATGACTGGATTAAAAAGTATTAGAGATTTTGATATGATTGTAAAAACACTATATATTTCTTTGATGTTTTTGAATTTGATTATTTCCGTGAAGACGTCGAGACAAGTTAGCTGGACGAAACGTTGGAATTATTTAAATTTCAATGGCTGAGACTATTTCAAATATAATTCTTTCACATATAATGTTATTATTATCTTTACATAAATTCCATCTATACTTTAATTCCTTTGTTTTATGTGCTCCCCATATAAATATATATATTTTAGCAAAATATCCAGTACAGTTGTTTCGTTATTCACATCTTCATATGTTTTCGAATGGCCAAAGTATTTTCCTGATACTCCGTTACTTTATCCACCAGCGTTTGATTCCCGAGTGATACTTTATCCAACGAATAAAACTCTCAGGGATTATTTAAGTTGGCGTCAGGTTGATTGTAAGTTTTCAATGTGTATTGTTTTGTATTTGAACTTTATGCAATATAATCGCTAATTTCATTATTTTGCAGAGTAATGAATTTACTCTTATCAGTGTAATCATATTTTATGTGAACTACTGTATCTCGTCCTGTTTTGATTTGACCAGACATTGTAAGGGATAAAAGAGTTCAAAAGAAAACAATGAGAGAATTTTGTTAAGACTACAAACAGACTTAAGTTAGACAACTACTGAAAACTAATAGACACGGGATAGCTGTTTTGCCCTAGTATGGGAGTCTTCATCAGTGAGAATCTGTGACCCTGCAACTGAGAATCAAACGCAAAGCCTTTGATCATATTTGTGAGTGCTCAATCTTTAGACCACTGAACCGCAATCCAATGTTTTAGATGTCTAACTCCTGTCAGTCAACGTTTTTGTGTGACCACCCTCCATTTTTTTCGGTGAGTACGTTCCTCGCACTCCACAATGTTAAACTCTGCACTAATGAAGGATGCTTATTAGAACTGCTTTAATTATCTCTGGAAGATACTCAATAGTAAAAACTGAAGAAATTTCATCCAGATACAAAAGCCTCAAAATCCTCGAATAAAATAATTATAAGTTTTTTCTCTGTCTCTTATGATAAAGCGAAACAGAATTAGTTTTTAAAGTGAATTTTGGTGTGATGCTGGGAGTCATAATTCTTTTCCTTGTCTACACATCACTGCATATCAATACCATCAAATCCTTGGTACGGCGGAGAGTGGGGATAGTCAGCTCTCCCTCCCGAACAGCTCTCACATGGCCACGCGTATACAGCTACAGTCAGTCATCTGCAACGTATACAGCTACTGTCAACAAGGTTCTACTCGCTGCCTTCTCGAAGCAGGGTTGTTTTAACCCAATTGAGAGGAGGAAAAGCAAATGCCCGGTGCTTTACCAGGTTGTGGACACGGAGAGTCCACCTAGCGGAGTTGGAAAACCCTGGTTCCAAATAAATGGTGTACATGGGCTCCAGGAAAACAAATGGTGGATTAACCTATTGTCGATCACTTGCTACCATGGGATTACATTTCCTAACGTTGCTCCACTGTCTTGTGAATTGAACCTCTAGGTCAAAGTCTCGGGGTGTAACCCCCCCCGTGAAAACAATCTTCAGTTTGGGTGCCCGGGCAGTATTCCAGCTCTCACACAAATCGAATAATGAAGTGTGGCGCATAAAAATTTGGAGCTACCTTGTACCAATGTTTATGCGTTTAAATAAATAAATAAACTACAAATCAATAACCACAAAACACTAACGGCCTAAACTAAATAGATAAAAATGCCTGTATAGGATTTCTATTGTGAACTGTGATTAGTTAAAACAAACTCTGGAAACTAGTAATTCTAAAATAACTTCTCCCCCTAATTATTTGGAACCTAGACTCATCAGACTCTCTGATTGACCTATTACTGCTAGTCTGTCTCACACAAATTTAATGACGTCATTTCTCAATTATAAGGAAATTCGTAATAGAAAGGTCAGCATTGTTTATGTCACTATTTATAGTGATAAACAAATATACCGGAAACATTGGTTTTGCGCTTACAGGTTTCTTACATTGTTTAGGTATGAATCTCATATCAGAGTTCGTGTTATTTGACTGACTAGCAAATTTTTATTAATGGAGATATAAAGAAAATCGTACTCAGCCATAAAAGTTTGAATATACCGCTAGTTGATCATGATGAACTTGTTTTGTGTTCGCGATCATTACCTATACACTGTTATAATGAATAAATATATGATTTGTATTAATTTAATTTGAACAAGAGTCGTTACAATAGAATTTGTTTTCACACAACTTATAATCTAAACATTCATTAGCATTTAACAAATACAATTAGTAACATAAATGTTAACATAAACTATTATGACCAACAGTTTAACTCATATATATATATATATATACCATTAGAAACCTGAAAGCACTGGACGACCGCTTCGTCTTATTATGGGACTTCTCGGTTCAGCAGTACCCACGCACTCGATTCGGACTAAAAACCTTCAGCCTCTCACGCGGACGCCTAACCTCTAGACCACTGAGCCGGCACCCAGCGGTGTTAATGTCTAACTTTAAACAGTCTACGATTTCGCACGACCGTCCTCCATTGTCTTCAGCGAATAACTGCCTCACATCGTTGGATGTCGGCCTAATGGTCTAGAGGTTAAGCGTTCATTCACAAGATAGAAGGCTCTAGGTTCACTTCCGGCAATCCAGACCGTGAATGCGCACTGCTGAACTGAGGAGTTCCATAATAAGACTAAGCGGTCGTTCAGCTACTCCAGGTTTTCAATGGTGCTTTAACCTAGTTTGGTTCATGATTTCGATACCATTTATTAATTAGTTGATTGCACAAAGTATGTGGTATATTATACACAACAGTTATCATTCATATGTGGTGAAATAAATTTATTCTGTTCCATGAGCTACCTAATATCTGTGTGTTTCGTCTCGGTTTTTTGAGTTTGGCAATCTCTTTGATAAAATTGTGGACCTCCACTGACTTGTTTGTTTAGCTAATGTCTAAATTACTATGTGTACTTGAACTCATATTGACTGGTGTAGTTGTAACACAAAAAAAATGTCTTGGAGTGACTATCTAAAGTCAACGGCTGATTTGAATAGTATACCAGTGTTGGTTCCCTTATAACCTAGTATTTTCAGATTATACGTAGTATGCATTAAAATATATTACACTGGCGTAAATGTAGTTACATTGTACTGCAATTCAAACTGTGAACATTGTTTTGAGTGACATTGTGAAGTCTATGAGCTTGAACTAATGTGTTAAATATGCACATTTCAATAAAAATCTTCGATCTAGATTTTTATTAGTTTACACTTGTCAGAAGGGTTTATTTGTCACTTTTAGGGAACTGATAATCCTTATTGCATTCTAATGCATGTTGCCCAGTGCACCAATGTGAAACATCTCTATTAGACCATTTGAGTTTTGACTGAAATTCTATAGAACTGAAATATTTATGTCAATGAATGACTGAATAGTAACCAATATCATACTTTTCTAGTACTTAGTTTTGTTCAGGTTCTATCAATCATTTTGACAAATAGAAGTCAGTCGTAATGACTTAATGTTATGGTGAACTGTGTTTGATATCTGGTGGTGGGTTGGGATCTGTAGGAATTTCTAGTCGACACTTGTTTGCAATCCTAATTGATATAATGTATTTTAAGCTTTTCAAATTCAACATCAAACATAGTTCACTATGATATTGTGTCATTTAGATCAGTGATGATCACATTACATCTTCAATACCATTAAGGACTAGATTGTATGACATTAGTTACTATTCGGTAATCAAGTGGTGCATTTTATTCATTTCTTAGTTTGATAAAAGTGTATTTCAATCATTATTATACCATTTAAATGCACTATATCTCTTTTGAATGTACTTTGAAAAAAAAATATATTCTTTATTATTTATCAGACGTGCTAATGTACACTGAAACTATCTATTCATATTTATTACTATTTTTAAGCGATTCATTAAAAGAAAAAAACTCAGGATATTTACCTAACATGATATTTGTGGTATGATATAATACAACACCTTTTTTTCTACTATAGTGCACCGGAGTACTTTTTAAAATGGTCCATTTGTGAGAAAAAAATGCTTTCTCTATTTTCATTCTGTAAGAGACTCATCAACATCTGGAGGGAAGCACAGGATACAGTAGACAGCTAGGATGCAGCTGGACTATTTAGACTTCGCAGATGATCTGACTCTTCTGTCACACACGCAACAACAAATGCACGAGAAGACGACCAGTGTAACACCAGTCTCAGCAGCAGTAGGTCTCCATATAAACAAAGGGAAAAGCAAGACTCTCCGATACAATACAATATGCACCAATCCAATCACACTTGATGGAGAAGCTTTGAAGGATGTACAAAACTTTACATATCTGAGCAGCATCATTGATGAACACAGTGGATCAGATGCAGATGTAAGGGCGATGATCGGTAAAGCAACAGCAGCATATTTACAACTGAAGAACATCTGGAACTCAAAACAAATGTCAACCAACACCAAGGTTAGAATTTTCAATACGAATATCAAGACAATTCTACTGTATGGGGCGGAGACCTGGAGAACTACGAAAGCCATCATGCAGGAGATACAAGTGTTTATTAACAATTGTCTACGCAAGATACTTCAGATCCGTTGGCCAGACACTATCAGCAACAAGCTACTGTGAGAGAGAGTAAACCAGATTTCAGTAGGGGAAGAAATCAGGAAGAAGCTCTGGAAGTGTATATGACACACTTTGAGGAAATAACCCAACTGCGTCACAAGGCGAGCTCTCACGTGGAATCCTGAAGGTCAAAGGAAAAGAGGAAGACCAAAAAACACATTATGCCGAGAAATGGAGACAAACATGAGAATAGTGAACAAAAACTGGATAGAACTAGAAAGGAATGCTCAGGACAAAGTGGGTTGGAGAATGTTGGTCATTGGCCCAGGCGTAAGTAAAAAGACTCATTACGATCACTACACAATACATGTGTGTACGTATACATATATTTATTCCTCAGTTTATAAGGATGAATTTTATTTACCAAAAATTGATGCAAAGAATTCTATACCGTATTCTGACTATTAATTACTAATGTGTATTTTCGTTAGTTTTTCGACATAGTAATAATGGTGTAGTAAACGAACACTCAGATGGGAAAGACCAATTTACTGGTTAATTCAAAATTACAGTGATTTCTCAAAATATGAAAACCATACATTAAATACATTATTTGCACATCTTCCTTCAGTTTTCCTTTACATGCTTCATGATTCTTTCAATTCTGTTGTTACTAAAGTTGCTCTCTGTCTCCGTTCCTGTTCTCTTCAATTCGATCTTCTCAATCTTCTATCAGGCATTCCACTTCTGATTGGTGTTACATACTACATAGTTATGTCAACATAAGTAGCATACACCACAATGGTACTGT